CGTTTTGCCTGGTCGATATATCTCGTTCAATTCTGGCCAAAACTGAGAGAAACTCCTAGGTGATAAGTTATTTCCAAGTCAGCAGTGCATGTCCGAGAACGAGTGATGATGGTGAGATACCCTATTTGGATGGTCTGCAGACAACGACGACCGCAAATCTGAGGAAAGGACGATGTCGTCTACTTGCCAAGGACACGTGGATATGATTGCTGAATTTCTTCTGAAGGGCTCAGTACCTGACATTCTGGGTGGCTTCACGAACACTTGATCTAGCCTGGATGGACTGGTGGCAAGCGAATATGCGAAATTCAGTGCCATGTTAGTGGGTTCGAAATTCTAGGATACTTATGTCATTTTGGTAATGGTATGAGCCGGCGCCGATCTAGATCTTGTGGGTCCGTAAATATATGGGGATCCGCATGGAACAAGCAAAGGTCCCACGCGTACGGCATGTACATGTTGGTCCCTGTTGGCCTGCTAGCGCTGTGGACGCAACCTCATCATACTGTCGCCAAACCCAAAGCAAACACCCACGAAGGGATCCAGCAATACCAGCAAAATACCAGACTGCCTATCTCGCGGTGCTGAAGCCTCAGCGTCGAAACCAGGCGAGTTTCAAGCACTTAAGTGGGCTTGAGCCACGGCAGTGACTCGGGGACATTGGCGCGTTAAAAACAAAGCCCCTTTAGTTTTGCTCTTTCCTTACGCAGCCTTACGCACCCATTGGATATATAATGTCATGTTTTTTTCTACGCTTCTGAGATTTATGTAGTGTATGCGCCCACGGCCAGCAGGTACAGGCAGTGGCACATTCGCATACTACTGTTCCAATAAATACTGCTATTTAAATTTGTGACCCAGTGAAGGAAAGTAAGTATACGGACTCGAAAGTGAAACTAGGGCTGATCCACGGGAGCAGTACTAGTCTGTTCATCATTGCTGAAATTCGTTCCCCCGGCATGAATATCTTCAGATAGTTTGAAGGACAACATGAGCTGCGTACAGTCAGTAATGCAGATACCAGGTGCGGTATCGGACGTACCCGATCGATTGGTAGGGCATGGATAAGGTATTTCTGCCCATCGCTGCGCAGATTTGTCATGGCAAAGTGTGATACAACCTGTTCGAGCATGATAAGGTGGAGTAGTCTTGGCACCTTCTCACATAGATACCCCCCCGCGAAACCGAACCTGACATACGGGTCGATGCTAGGATCGATCCTCTGGTGCTCTCGAACAACCAAGTAGAATGTTTTGATTCCTTGATAGACATGCTGGAAGATTTTCTCGATCCTTCCCGTCTTGTGGAGGTCATGAGCGTGCGGTGAGACACTGCTACTCCCCCTAAAAATGATTGCACTATCACGGAATGATGGAGATGCGCATGTTCCATATGACACGCCGCGTCTTGCAATGCGATTTAAAGAGAAAGCCTCAGCATGGGGACGGACTGCATTGCCGTTCAACGGATTACTTCCTAAGATGCCACATAGAAGCTGGTATGGTTCCCCACTGAGCGTGAAAGGCGCTAGACTTGAGTCTGCGTAATCAGGTAGCGTAGGATCCAGCATGCTTGCAAGGCGGAAGCCACGGATGTCTTCCTGCTCAATTGCCTTTATGCTTTTTACCAGCTCCATGACATTTTGGCGTACCGCTTCGTCATCGGCAAGAATCGCACGAAGATTAGCTGTTCGGGATGATACCTTCATGAATGTTGTTTCCAGATCGCCTGTAGAGAGAGAGGGGGGGGGGGTCATGATCAGCGACAGGTACTGATCAATATGGAGTGAATATGCACCCAATTTTTTATTAGTGTTCAGTTGCTGCAAAAAATAGATATATCGTTCATAGAAGGGCGCGCTGTGTGAATGGACAGGTCCAAACAGGT